GGGGGGGGGGGGGTGGTACTGCCATATATGGGCTATATAGGTATGTGCCGCTGTGAAGGGTATGGTTTTCAGGCACTTTACTCTAGGATAGGGTATATAAATTAGGGAGTTTGGGTCTAGAATAGGGTATCATTTTTCAGGAAACTGATCAGTTGGTTGAAGATTTTATCTAGACAAGGGAAACAGCTACTCTAGGATAGGGGGATTTGGGAGTTTACTCTAGTATAGGGTAGAAAAATTCAGCTGAACTGACTCTGGTATAGGTTTAGGGTTCCAGGGTCCCAGCGGCACATCCCCACCCAGAAATTCCGAAAGTACCCCCCCCCCGGGAGCTGGATATATAAGCTACATGTAAGTGCATTTCCTACTAAAAAACCTATTATTTAACCTAGTACAGAAGTTACACAAGTGATGTTGCCAAATATTCTAAAAGAAATATAACATGTAATAAAATAAGGGGTGCATTGTTTAAGGCCCTCACCAACTTGACATTTAATGACAAATTCTCCCTATGATCACAAGCATACAGAAGGTAAATTGATAAGAGAATTTGTCAGTGCATTACCTTACACATTTATTTCCGGTCTCCTTTAGCAAGGTTGTCACTAAGAGCCGAGGGCCAGAGATTCCCCCAGTTACCACCTTATTACATGAAGTTTTCGCGACACGTTTATTTTGCGATTCTACAAAAATTTTTTATTTTGAATCACTTTAAATTCATGTTTTTGAGTACAACAATTTAAATTTCATAGGCAATGCTATTTAACATGTCTTTGAATTAAATGAAACGACTTTATCAGAGAAACAATAACGTCAAAATTAAGAAAATCGCAACAGTAGAGCGGGACTAAAATGTCAAAGCAATTCTCACAATGTTCACAAGCAGTTCATGCTTGTACGTGAATTATTGTTCTTGAGTCAACTGACCACAACATCCACTTACACTGAAAATTCCTCAGCAAAGTAAAAAATGTGGTTAGTGTAAATGTGGCAATTGGCAGTGGTAATAAACTCATTCTCTCTCGATTACGGACATAATGTGAGTCACTTAAAATTTGCATCATGTTATGTTCGCGACACTCATTGTTCACGTCACTTTAATTTTGCGATTTTTGTGTACCGCAAAATATGCAAAATTAACGTGTTGCCAAAATTTCAGGTAATAAAGTACGAGCATGACCCCTGGCTATTTTCATAGGAAACAAAAGAACGATGAGAGCAAAGGAACTCCTTGGCTCCTTGGCTATTCATTTCCCCACCTACTAATTGCAAATACCTGGCAACTTGAAGTTTTAGTGACAGCCGTGCCTTTAGTTAGTGTCCGGCTATATATTCATCGTACATCAAAGACAATAAAAATCCAGATCCTTGATATTCAATTTCAGTGGCATTATTTTATTGTGCAATAACAAAAGACCTTTCTTATTGTACAAACTGCCCTGAAAATGCTGCATACGTGTAATTTCAGATTTTTTATCAAACCCTATCAGAAGGCCTGCATGTACATGTAGGTTCAAAAATTAAATATTATTTTTTCGAGGTATTTTGCCATCTGAACAGTCCTTGCATTAGGAAAAGTATCACTTCAAATTCCTCAAGAGATTAATAGGCCTTTTGCAATAGTTGGTCACGTGATCAACTTTCTGTAAACGCGAAA